ATTTTAAAAGACTTAGAGGTTCAATTTTGTATCGTTCTACACTTTCTTCTGTTGACTCAGTTGTCAGTGAGTTATTGACCGAAGAGATACGTCTTAAGTCTTATTCTGACAAGCGAATTTTTTCTATTGCTGATCCTTCTGTGATGGCAGTACCTTCTAAACCATTCTCTCATAATCAAAATAAGCCTTACACAAGACCTGCCTTCGACGAGTGCAGTTTCTGTGAGCAGAAAGGTCATTGGAAGGCTCAATGTCCTAAGTTAAGACAGCAGAATCAATCGCAACAGCAATCTCAAGCTTGGAAGTCTNGAGCCTTCTGACACCAATTGTGTAAGACGAGGTCATGATGGCTAACCTAGCCTAGCTTAGGCTAGTGACCTGTACATCAGTAGCCTTTGCGGGAGTAGAGAATGCCATCTTTGATGGTACACTTCGGAACCGAGAAGGAGGTACATCCCACAGCCGAGAGTGGAGGTACGTATAGGGACCGATGTACAATATCCCCCGACCGAGGGTTACGTGTCGATACGTAACGTACTGGATGCCATTGATCCCTTCGACCAGTACNAACTTCGTGTACAAATACTCCTGAGCAAAATGGCGTTGCTGAAAGAAAATATAGACACATTGTTGAAACTGCTCGTTCTCTCTTGTTGTCTTCTTCTGTTCCTAGTGNTTGGGGGAGAGGGACTTGTGAACTGATGGGTACGTGTCGTGATCACAGTAACAAGAATTTAGTGACACCGAGGACACGTGTCTTCATCTTGAAGTATTTTGAAAATGTCCCATCACAAATAAACAACAATGAGTTGATATAAANTTATATTTCAGGTGCTTCTCTTCTTACAGCCACAAGCTATGTCTGTTTCTTCTTCAGGAGGTCAGTTGCCTCATAGTTCTCCAAGTATGTCACATTCTGTATGGGTCTTGGATTNGTGTCTTCATCTTGAAGTATTTTGAAAATGTCCCATCACAAATAAACAACAATGAGTTGATATAAAAATTGGACCAAATTTGAGCTTAAGCTAAAGTTTTTGAATCAAGTTTGAGTCTCATTGTATTTGGTTTCAACTTCTATCAAGAGTATCCGAGCCCAAAAACTTCTTGAGACGTGTTTGAAAATTTGGATAACAAATAGGTAATAACTCACATGTTAATTTATTTTCAAGTACATTGGAGTCTCAGAATCACAAATAGAAAACAACTTAGTTTGTGTAAGCCCACANTTTGATTCTGGAAATTTAGTCACATTTTTCTCTTCTTCTTGTTATGTGCAGGATCTGTAGTTTCAGAAGCTGATTGGGACAGGCCGTAGGAAGGGAGGACTATATATTTTAGATGAATTAAAAGTGTCAATTACTGCTGCTGCTACTAGTATTGATTTATCTTCTTTTCGTTTGAGTCTTTCTTCTTCTAGCTTTTATTTATGGCATTCTCGTTTAGGTCATGTTTCGTCTTTTCGTTTGAGATTTTTGCCATCCATAGGGGCTTTAGGAATTTTGAAAATTTGTGATATTTCTGATTGTAGTAGATGTAAACTGGCAAAATTTTTAGCTTTACCTTTTAATCGAAGTATTTCTGTTTATTCTTCTTCATTTGATTTGATTCATTCTGATGTATAGGGACCTTCTCCTGTTACCACAAAAGGAGGGTCTTCATATTATGTTTCTTTTATTGATGATCATACTCGTTATTGTTGAATTTATTTAATGAAACAACGTTCTGAATTCTTTGAGATATATATAGTCTTTCAAGCTCTTGTCAAAACTCAACATTCTGCTGTTATCAAATATTTTAGGTGTGATTTGGGTGGGGAGTATACTTCTAATAAATTTGTTGAGTTGCTTGCCTTAGATGGAACTATTTACCAAACTTCGTGTACAGATACTTTTGAGCAAAATAGTGTTGCTGAAAGAAAACATAGACATATTGTTGAAACTGTTCGTTCTCTCTTGTTGTCTTCTTCTGTTCCTAGTGAGTTTGGGGTGAAGCTGTTCTTACTGCTGTAGGTTTGATTAATACAATTACATCTTCTCATATTTCAGGTGTTTCTCCTTTCGAAAAGTTGTATGGGTATGCCCCTGATTATTCTTCATTTAGAGTTTTTGGTTGTACTTATTTTGTTCTTCGTCCTCATGTTGAACGCAACAAGCTGTCCTCTCGATTTGCTATTTGTGTCTTTCTTGGATATGGTGAAGGTAAAAAGGGGTATCGTTGTTTTGATCCAATAACTCAAAAACTTTATATGTCTCGTCATGTTGTTTTTCTGGAGCATATACCTTTCTTTTCTATTCCATCCACTACTTATAGCTTGACTAGATCTGATCTTATTCGTATAGATCCTTTTTCTGATGAATCTGATAGTTTGTCATCTCGGGTTTCTAATATTTCAAATACCAACACTGATCATTCTACAGGTACTAACACTTTACTCTCTAGCACACCTGAAGCTACCTCCTCTCCTATGGTCCCTCAAGCTCCGTCTGAGATTGTGAATCCACCTCTACGTCAATCCACACGCATTCGTAAGTCCACAAAGTTACCAGATTTTACTTATTCTTGTTATTCTTCATCTTTTACTTCCTTTTTAGCTTCTATTCATTGTCTCTCTGAGCCCTCTTCCTATAAAGAGGCAATTCTTGACTCTCTTTGGCAGCAAGCTATGGATGAGGAACTTTCTGCTTTGCATAAGACAGGTACTTGGGATTTGGTTCCTCTACCTCCTGGTAAGAGTGTTGTTGGTTGTCGGTGGGTGTATAAGATTAAGACCAATTCTGATGGATCTGTTGAGCGATACAAAGCTAGGTTGGTTGCAAAAGGGTACTCTCAACAGTATGGTATGGATTATGAGGAGACATTTGCTCCTGTTGCAAAAATGACTACTATTCGTACTCTTATTGCAGTTGCTTCAGTTCGTCAGTGGCATATCTCTCAACTTGATGTTAAAAATGTCTTCTTGAATGGGGATCTTCAAGAAGAAGTTTATATGGCTCCCCCTCCTGGTGTTTCACATGATTCTGGGTATGTTTGCAAGCTCAAGAAAGCGTTATATGGTCTCAAACAAGCACCTCGTGCTTGATTTGAGAAATTTTCTATTGTGATCTCTTCCCTTGGGTTTACTTCTAGTAGTCATGATTCTGCTCTTTTTGTTAAGTGCACTGATGCAGGTCGTATCATTCTGTCTTTATATGTTGATGACATAATTATTACTGGTGATGATATTAATGGTATTTCAGTTTTGAAGACAGAGTTGGCTAGACAGTTTGAAATGAAGGATTTGGGTTCTCTACGATATTTCTTGGGTATTGAGGTAGCCTGCTCACCCAGAGGTTATCTTCTTTCTCAGTCGAAATATGTTGCAGATATTCTTGAGCGAGCTAGACTTACTGATAATAAGACTGTAGATACTCCCATTGAGGTTAACGCAAAGTATTCTTCTTCTGATGGTTTACCTTTGTCAGATCCTACTTTATACCGTACTATTGTTGGGAGCTTGGTATATCTCACTATTACTCGTCCAGATATTGCATATGTTGTTCATGTTGTTAGTCAGTTTGTTGCTTCTCCTACTACAGTTCATTGGGCAGCAGTTCTTCGTATTTTGAGGTATCTTCGGGGTACAGTCTTTCAGAGTCTTTTACTTCCATCCACCTCTTCCTTGGAGCTGTGTGCATACTCTGATGCTGATCATGACAGTGATCCCACAGATCGTAAATCTGTTACTGGTTTCTGTATTTTTTTGGGTGATTCTCTTATTTTTTGGAAGAGCAAGAAACAATCTATTGTTTCTCAATCTTACACCGAAGCAGAATATCGTGCTATGACATCTACTACCAAAGAGATTGTTTGGTTACGTTGGTTACTTGCAGATATGAGAGTTTCTCTTTCTCATCCCACTCCTATGTATTGTGACAACCGGAGTTCTATTCAGATTGCTCACAACTCGATTTTTCATGAACGAACTAAGCACATTGAGATCGATTGTCACCTTACTCGTCATCATCTCAAGTATGACACCATTACTTTATCCTTTGTTTCTTCTTCTTTGCAGATTGCAGATTTCTTTACCAAGTCGCATTATATTTATCGGTTTCGTTTTCTAGTTGGCAAACTCTCGATGCTTGTCGCTGCTACATCGTGAGTTTAAGGGGAGATGTTAAGAAATATAGGGTTATTTTATTTATTAAGGGTAGAATAGTCTTTTACTTTCTCTACTTTGTTTAGCTTATATATAGTCTCTTTGTATTTAGGTTAAATTATTCCCTTGTATTCAATTAAAATTATGCAGTATTAATAAAACCCTAGTCTCCTCTCTGTCTTATCTCTTGTATGTCTTTATATTGTTCAACAGATTGAACAATATCACCTGAAGGAAATGGATTACCACCTGAAGGAAATCTTAAACTCAATATTGATGGTGCCTCTAAGGGCAATCCAAGACTTTCGGGTGGAGGAATGGCTCTGAGAAATCATTGGGGTATTCTGGTTCTAGTTGGATCCTTCTTCTATGGAGTTTGTACTAATATGGAAGCTGAAATGAGATCTTTGCTTGATGGTTTGCGTTTGTCAAAAGAGTTTGGTTTGGAGGTCTATCCACTTACTATTGAAAGTGATTCTCAGGTTTTAGTTAACATGGTTAAACAGAAGAAGTTGCCTAGTTGGAGACACTGGAACATTTATTATCAAATCTTTTCTTTACTTGAGTATTTCGACTTTCAAATCCAGCATTCATATAGAGAGGGAAATACTGTGGCAGACTCATTGGCGAATCTAGGTGTTCAGAACAGAACTTCTGTGTCCTATTCCTCTTCTACAACACTACCGATCCAAACCAAGCAACTGCTATGGCAGGATCAGAGACAGATTAGATCTCTGCGTTCTAAGACTACAACTTCAAGATTGAAGTCACAACTTTTATAGCATCTACCTTTATTTAGGCGAATGGACAGGTGTTAGGAAGCAAAATATATATATATATATATATATATATATATATACAGTCTGGGGACTGGGCACTTTTCTTAATTAGAGAAAACTTTTCATATACAAGAATGGATATAACAGGACTAATCAAGAGTTCTCATAAAGGCATTCAGAATCACTTTGTCATTTGGAGGAGGCTCATCCATCTCAATATTACTCTGCTTTGTTTCTTCGGAGCATCAGGACGGGGGAGCTTTGGTTTGAACTGTTCTCAGGCCCAGGCTTCAGGTCTTCTGACAGCTGCAATCCCCTTCAATTTGCTGGATATTCATCTTCTCCATGGCAAGGGATAGTTGCAGAATGGCAGTTTAAGCTTTAAGGCTTCCTCATTCGCTGGATATTCATCTTCTTCTTCCTTCATAGTCTTCTCGCTATGGATCATCTTCTTTAAGTTGCAGCAGTTAAAGTCTTCTCTGTCTTTTCTGCTTCAACTGATGGAATTTCTTCAATGGGTATTCATCTTCTTCCTTAGTTTGAAGCAACAAAGGATTTTCTCAGAACCATCGAATGAGTTTCCAGAGATTCTCTCTGATTATCGTTCTGAGTCTGTCCATCTGATTAGCATTTGGTGTTCCAAAGTGGCCTACTCAGACGCCTTTCAGTCTTTCTATCAGACGCTTCAGTCTCCTTATTAGGCTCTTCATTCGCCTCCTTATCAAGCGTCCCATTAGCTTCCTTATATGCCTCTTTCCTTCAGCTGGCACTTAACACATCAGCGCTGCATCATTTATATGCCTTCAGCTCAGTTGCCATTAATGGTTGACTCTGCCCTAGGTTTCAAGATTACTGCAGTCCTCAGCTCAGTGAATCCTCTCAGCTCATTCTTGCAGCAGCTTAGGCAATATGCTTCGCTTTTATTCTTACTTTTCTGTTGCTTGTAATAAGCTTGCATTTTTGCCTTCTTTCGTTTTGTTTTTGGCATGTAATTAGATTGCATCGAGGGTAAAGTACATCCGTTCCTCTTGGTTGGGTGTAATTTTAAATTTTAATTAATAAAATCTCTCTCGCACCGTCGAGATTCCACCCAAAAAAAAAACAATATTACAAACAAGCTATTTTGATGATCACCACCCCTTTTTAGTCATTGCAACAGTGACATTGATGAACTCAGTTCTCTCTTTGGACATTATATTAGCCACAATCTTCCTGTACCTGCTGAACACCTCATCAATTATCGCTGCACTAAAGTGACTGAGAAGCAAGGGTTCAGCCACAGCTCTCATGCACTTTGCAACATTGTATGCACCGTCCTTATAGAAGTCCGATGATTTATCGTTGTAGGCATTCCAGTTGATTTCAAAAACCTCAAGGCGGTCAATTCCAAAATATCCTTCCATTTCGACCTCAGATTTTACTTCTGATGGGGACGATGTGTACTGAGGAATGTTGAATGAATCAAGTTTCTCTTCTTCCACGAGGGCCTGCATTGATGTTAACATAACTAGAAGGTGCATGATTTTATGCATGTGAAGTATAAATAAGATTCAATTTGATGGGAACAAAGTACGTACACGTACTTTCAATTTCCTCATCCATATTAACAAAGAATAGGTCAATTAGAGTGTACGTAGAAAAACCTCTCAAGTGCGAGTATGAAGTGTTGTATCGAACACCTCGGATTATGAAAGTGTAGTTTTCTTTTTTTCTTTTTTTTGATTGTCATGAGATAGTCCAGTTGTCTTCATCTAACCATGTTTTTTTAATGGAAGACAAAAGCATCCTATCGTTAGCGTGAAATGTGTACTTACATAGATAGTTTGTACCCCTTAGTATGTCTTTTGCGAGTACACTTAAGACAGCTTTGTAACATGTCTTTGAACTATATTTTATACCTAAATATTTTGATCGATAAAACCATTTTTTGACGGAAAAAATAAAATAAAAAACTAGTTAAGGTTGTGAGAATTTTATATTCTAGACTCAATAATTTGTACCCTTGAGTATCTCTCTTGTGAATATACTATGAACAACTCTATGATATGCATTAAATTACATTTTCTATGCAATTATTTTGACCATTAAAACCATTTTTGGAAGGAAAAAACTAGTTTTCGATTATTGCAGGTGTCTTTCGATTTATTTCAGCAGCTTTCGATGGTTAGATGAGTAGGTTCATCAAAAAAAAGTTATTGGAACCTATTGATTCAACTATCTTTATTAATTTGGAATGCAAATTTTGGATACAAATTTGAGGCGGGCAATAAATTATCACACTAAAGAACTTGGCCAACGTAATTCTTGTCATCTAATAGCCGGCAGGTCAAACCTTGTTCGCTATAAGCCAAATGAAAAACCCTTTCAGAACCCAGAAGTAAAAATGTTCAGACTCTTTTAGGTCCAAAATTTGTGTCATTTAAATTTTATGTAAAATCCGATTTGGATTTGGATTTGGATCTTCCCAATTTCAAGTACTTTTTTTTTCGTCAATTTCTTTCAAGTTTAGTTATACACAGTGATGGTTCAACCACCCATCGTTCAATTCATTGGATCTTATCGAATGTCAATATGACCTATAAACGTGCAATAGAGAAAATTTTAAGATAAAACTCAACTAAAATTGATAAAATTTAAAATTGTGAGGATCTAAACCCATTTTATTTTATATCAAAACAAGAACATGTCTATTAAAAGTTTATGTAAAAAAAACTCCTAATTTCGAGTACGTAGTGTTGGGTCTAACACCTCTAGTTATGAGAGTCTAGGTTTTTTTCCCTTCTTTTTTTATTTGATCGGTAGTAAATAGCTTATTTATCTTGGTCTAACCATGTTTTTTAATGGAAGACAAAAGCATCTTACCCTCAGTGTGAAATGTGTACTTAGTTTCTTGAGTTATGAGAACGTTATATTCCAGACTAGATAGTTTGTACCCTTTAATATTTGTTGTATGCCTATACAATCGGTAGCTTTCTAACATGTATTAACTATATTTCATATTTGAATATTTTGAACATTAAAACTCTTTTTTTGACAAAAAAAAAAAAAGTTAAATTTACAAAACTAGCTAATTAAGTTTATGAGAATGTTATATTCTAGACTCGACAATGTATGCCCTTGAGTATCTATCTTTATTGTGAGTATATTTCACAAGCTTTCTGACTTGTCTTGAACAAAATTTTATGGCCCAATATTTTGATAATTAAAACAATTTTTTTGAATGAACAAAATTATTTTTCGATGTTTCTTCGCAACTTTTGAACACTCTTTGCTAGAGGGATCTTCACTTTTCCTCCCAAGAAAAGTTAGAACCATTCGGCCTCCAGTGACTAGTTCCTTGGAACGACACTTTAGGAACAAGGAGAAATCTCTTTGAAATTGTTCAAAGTATGCTTTTATCACACTTGGCGGGCTTGTACTTGCCATGTAAATGTTCCTTTTGTTATTCTCTACCCCTTCAGAACCTGATAAAACAAAAAACTTGAAATTATATTTATTCATCCGTTCAACAATCATAAGTTTTGATATTTCCACTACAAGAATGAAGGTCTTTTGTGTTTGCCGTCACAAAAGATGTATTTGAGACAATTTTTTGTGGTGACTATTTTTACCGTCACAAAAAGCGTGTTTGTGTTAATATTTGTGACAACTATTTTTTCTGCCATAAATAGTGCCATAAACTCAAAAGAAATTTTTGTATTTGAGACAGCTATTTTTCATGTCTTAAATAATATTTTATAAATTCAAAAAAAAATTTTATATTTATGACAACTACTTTTCTCATTGTATATAATATTTCATAAAACATTAAAATGTTGTTTTAAATTAAAAAATATTTTATAGTTTAAAGAAGAAAAACTCTAAAAAAAATTTGTATTGATCACAATTATTTTTCATGTTACAAGTAATATTTTATAAAATTACATAGTTTAACATCAAAAGACAATTTCTAGTTCAAAGAAAAAAAAATTAAACTTTACAAAGTCAAGTTTTTATATCAAAATTAGGGGTGCCAAAATATGACACGACCCGTTAACACGACATAAAATTAGTGGATTTGAGTATTCCTTAAACCACCTGTTTAGTAAACGAATGGACTCATCACAATACGATTATAAACGAATCAGGTATTTGTGAAATCAGTTAGAAGAAATGTATACGATATGACTCGTTTATATACCATTTAAATAATTGAACAAGCCGTTCAGAGAAATATTGTGTGGCCCTCTATTGATGTATATTCTAACTTCTTTAGTTATTTATTATATATATGTATATAAATATTATTTCAGTATTGTAACAATAATTTTATAATTTTTTCAGATGTCACTAAGAGAGTAGATGGTTCGGGAAGGATGTTCAACTTTTTTGCATTAATTTCTTGTACTAATAGATCGTTATGTTTTATAAAAGTACATATTTTACATTTTGTTTAACTCGTGAGATTGTTTTTTTTTTGATATGAAAATATTGCTAAGTTTTTAGAAATGTTGATTATGTTTAGTTTTGTGTTTATATATATATATATATATATATATATATATATATATATTAAATTGGGTAGTTGTATGAATACGAAAGAGTCTTTGGTCTAATGATACTCCTTACATTGTGAAAGATTTGTCTTCTTGAGATCAAGAGTTCAAGTCCCCTTATCCTCTCCCCCACCAAAAAAAATAAAAAATTGTATAGAGTGTATATATGCACAGAGTATATAATATTGGTTACGAACGGTCCATAATAATTCAAAAAAAAAAAAAATTCACTGCTTCGTTGCCGTCATAAATATATCTTATATTTTTTACGACAGCCAAATATGATATTTGAGGCAGCACTTTTGCTGCCATTATAAAATCAAAAGTATCGGATTTTTTATGACAATTTATTTAGGACTGGATTTTGCCGCCGTAAATACTATTTGAGACAAACCGTTGTTACAATAAAAAAATTTTAAGACTACACTTATTATGACGAGGCAATAGCGTCACAACGCCGTCACAAAAAGTATTTGTGACGACAAATAGACTTTTTATGACAGCACTTTACCGCCGTAAAAATCCTTTTATCTTATAGTTTTCACTCGGTTAATAGAGTAGAAACAATGAAAAAAAATTCTTTAATTAGAACACACCGGACCCGCATGGTATAATATTATTTATTTTTGGTTAAACTTCTAAAGTTTTAGAATAAAGTCTAATTTGAGATTGGTTACTATTCACCCTAAGGTCCAAAGTTTGTGACCAGTTCCAAGGTGACGTTAGATTTTGGATGATGACTCTTATTCCACTAGCTTGCACAATCTCATCGGATGTGGTATCCACACCACGAGGGTTAGTGACTCTGATACAATTTTTTAATG